AGGAGGAGTAGGAGGAGGAGGAAGTGAAGGAGCAGGAGGAGGAAGGAGGAGCAGGAGGAGGACGGCAAGCAAAAGGGCCAGAGGTCTCTTGGATGCCTCTCGGAGCCTCTTGGGGTATCTCTTGGGCGCTTCTTTGTGGCCTCTTGGGACGTCTTGGGGGTCTCGTGGCGGTCCTGGGGGGCTCTTGGGCGTCTTGGGTGCCTCGTGGGGGCCTCTTGGGGCCGCTTGGGGTCCTCTGGGAGGTATCCTGGGGGCCTCTTGGGTTTGGATCTATTGGGGCCTCCTGGGCGCCTCTTGGGGCCATCTTGGAGGAACTCGATCAAAGAACAGGGGAGGAGTTTTTTTTAGCGTCGCCCCCCCAAGAGGCCAGAATGGGGCCAAAACCGAAGTAAAACCAATGATTTTGGCTTCCTCGCCCAGGCCGTTTTGCCCTGACCGCTCGCGACCGGTCCCGTCCAGGTCCAGGGGGAAATAGGGGGAGGGGTAAACACCTCCCCAAAGGGGAAGAAGGGGGGTGGGAGGGGTAAACCCCTCCCCGGAGGGGAAGAAGGGGGGTGGAAGAGGAAACTCCCTAAACCACCTACGCCCAGATTGCTGGTGGGATTGGCGCAGAATGCAGGAGGAGCGGGCCCGACGCACACAGGCATGTTTTCCTCCGACTCGTTGAAGTGCCCAATCGGCTGGTGAAACCATGGGGGGTCGCCCTCAAGGCGAATTCGCTTCCCTGTGAAGCAGCGTAGCAGAAGTGAGAGCCCCCACGTAGACGACGGCAGGACAGAAAAGCCAGGCGTAAATAGCTGTACAGAAGAGCTGCCAGCCAACGGAGAACGAGAGGGCGAGGCGACGGCCGGAACATGCTTTTGAACTCCGCCGGTGGTGGGGCACCCCAGTCGCATACAGTCGCGGTCCACAGTCCCTCCCTCTCCCTCCCACACAGTGACGCGCACAAGGATGTTGAGCTCCGCGCCGACACCGGCTCGAAGGACCTCTCCCCCCTCCCTCCTCTGTGAATTCTTGATGCATCTCACATTGCATGTTGCTCAGAAGCACCAGATTCCCGAGGCCACGGCCTCGCCCACCTGGTCTCAGCTAGGCCCAGACGGCGTCCGCAGCGGAGGTCGTATCGTCTCGTATCGGACGTTCGTACTGAATGCGCCACGCCGACTCAGACCCTGGAGGATCCCCCATCCAACGAGGGCGGCGGTGATACCCATGGCCAATCCACGATTGGAGCCCCAGCGGCTTCCAGACCCTGGATTCCGAATCCAATGGCTACTTACCCAGTGCTCTCGCCATACTAGGACGGGCTGCGTCGAAGGGAGTTGCCAGCTTGACGGTCCCCCGGCACGCGCTGTGCTCTATGCGGCTAGGTGGCGGCGCCGTCGCGAGTACCAGGGCGGGGGGCACGCTTGGCCCAATCGCCTCCTGGTCGATGCAGATCGGGAGTCGGGATGGGGGCAGACACATGCAGAAAAACGCGAGGGGGCCTGAAACACATATACACACATACGCACGCACACCCTCTTTTGTTCCCAATCATCCCGCGGTGTTGAGTCCTCGTTTTGAAGAGACAGTGCCCCGCGTCCTCCTCTCTTCTCTTCTCCTCTCCTCTCCTTCTCCTAGCAGAGCGCTGTTCGCTAGACGGGCGGCGTCCCCACGCTCCTGTACTCCTGTACTCCTCCTCCTCCTCCTCCTCCTCCTCATCCTCCCGCTTCTCCCTCCTCACAACCTTGCCTCAGCCTTCCGCATGTCGACCAGTTCGGCACACCCGTCACATGTTTCGTGGCCCCATGGGGAGTTCCACCGAAGGCCCCAGTGGCATGGTTAGCACTCCGCCCCCCCTGCACTTTGGCACACCTCTCACACATTTCGTGACCCCATGGGGAGTTCAACCGAAGGCCCCAGTGGCATAGTTCGCATGCCGCCCACCCCCCACTTTGGCACACGCCTCACACGTTTCGTGGCCCCACAGGGAGCTCCACCGAAGTCTCCAGTTGCATGGCTCGCATGCCGCCCACCCCCCACTTTGGCACACGCCTCACACGTTTCGTGGCCCCATGGGGAGCTCCACCGAAGGCCCCAGTGGCATAGTTCGCATGCCGCCCCCCCACTCCACTTTGGCACACGCCTCACACGTTTCGTGGCCCCACAGGGAGCTCCACCGAAGTCTCCAGTTGCATGGCTCGCATGCCGCCCACCCCCCACTTTGGCACACGCCTCACACGCTTCGTGGCCCCATGGGGAGCTCCACCGAAGGCCCCAGTGGTTCGCATGCCGCCCCCCCACTCCACTTTGCCCCAGTTGCATGGTTCGCACGCCACCCCCCTCAACTTTGGCACGCCCATCACACGCTTCGTGGCCCTATAGGAAGCTCCACCGACGGCCCCAGTGGCATGATTCGCATGCCGCCCTCCCTCCACTTGGGCACACCCCTCACACGTTTCGTGACCCCATAGGGAGCCCTAGCGGCACGGTTCGCATGCCGCACCTCTTCCATGTTGGCACTTTTTCCGCACATCCCGTGGCCGCATAAGGAGCTCCACCGAAGGCCCCAGTGGCATGGTTCGCATGCCGCCCACCCCACTTTGGCACACCCCGCACATGCTCCGTCGCACCACAGGGAGCTCCACCGAAGGCCCCTGCGGCATGAACCGCATGCCGCCACCCTCCATTTAGGCACACCCCGCATAGGTGTCGTGGCCCCTATAAGGGAGCTCCACCGAAGGCTCCAGCGGCAGTGCCCGCATGGCGACATTGCAGCATCATGCGGCGCGCCTTTCGCGCGCGTCGTGCCCTAGCGGGATCCACCGCCGAGGGCAGATCTCACAACGGCGGTATTCACAAATGCATACAGCTGGGCCCTTCGCCAGGCTGGTGTTGGCCGTCGCGGCCACGCGGGCAGCGGCGCGGCGTAAAGAGCAGCAGACACGCACGCACACAAACACACACACACACACACACGCACACACACACGCACGCACGCACGCACGCACGCACGCACGCACGCACGCGCACACGCACACACAAACACACACACACGGACACACACACACACACGCACACGCACACGCACACGTACAGGCACACACACACACACATACACACACTAACACACTCAGACACCCACATAAACACAAACACACACACACACATACACGCACACACACATACACGCACACACACACACACACATGCGGACGCGGTTGATGCCTCCATCTTGCGTACTGGAAGCAAGGAAGGAAGGCAAGAAGAGAAGGAGAACGGCAGGCAAATCAGACGAACGCTCCAACGCATACACATTCACACACGCACATACACACAAGCACACACACACTCGCACACACTCTTTGGGCGTCGCGGCCACGCACGCGGCGACGCGTTGTCGTTCAAGTCCGGCGGGAGCGCTCGGGCCAGGGCAGTTCACGCAGCGTGGAGAAGCTGGATCCACCCATAGGGGATCGACAGCATCACTTGCGAGGTCAAGGGTCGAGGGGAAGAGGAAACGAAGGCGGGCGAGGGGTGCAGGGAGGTGAGGGCGGCGTTGAACCAGTGTGAGGCCAATCCATTCGCGTTACCAGCGTCGCCGCATTGCGGAGGGTTGGGAAGGTGGCGGGGCGTGCGATGGAGGGTTGGGCAGGTGGCGGGGCGGTGAATGGACGGTTGGGGGGGTGGCGGGGGTCTGGGAAGGTGGCGCGAGGGACGCAGGGAAGTGGAGGTCAGCAGCTTGAATTCAATAAGCAATAAATTCGGGCGCCAAGAGCGCCGCGTAGCGGGATCAGCAGATCGCCAACAGTATGACAAAGGAACAGTGCACCAGTGACGGCCGAGGCCAGGAAGCGTGGCGCAGTGGAAAGGCTGCAACAGCAGGTGGCTACACACACACGCACACTTGACAAGGTCATGGGACCTTTCTGGTTTTAGGAACATAGTGAAGCAAATCATGATTGAGTGCATTTGGAGGAAGGTTGCCAGGTTCGATTGCGTAGTCGACGACGGTGCACACGAATTTGGCGATAGTGTACACAATTTTTGCGACGTAGAATCAACCAGGAGTGCACACTACACACATAACAAAACTGCACGCTGGAGCTGCGTTTTCACACTGGCACATGGGGTCTTCGTTGGCCAGCGTCCCAGATGCCAACCGCTGGACCCCCTCCGATCTTACACTCGCGTGAGGAAAAAGCTTACGGCAGACACACACACACACACACACACGCTCGCGCACACGCACGCTCGCGCACACGCACACGCACACACTTTTGGGCGCACGCGGGCGAGGCGAAGAGACTCGGCCGTCCAGCGTTGCGCGCGCAGCGCAGCGGGCTATGACGCCAGGCTCGGAGAAGGTGAGACGGGCTCAGTCGCCAGCCCCTCACAGGCAGCAGCGGGGGGAGGGCGGCGGGCAGCGGTCATTCGCGGGGAACATCCACACACACACACACTCTCTCTCTCTCTCTCACGCACGCACGCACGCACGCACGCACGCACGCACGCACGCACTCACGCACACACACACACACACACACACACACACACACCGCACGCACACACGCACACACGCACACACGCACACACGGGCTCTTCTTTGGCCAACGCGCTCATGGGTTTATCCACCTTGGGCTTTTCGGCTGGGCCCTCGTGGCCCGTCACTCGGTACAGTGGTGAGTGGCCCTGGCGCCCCCTGTGGTGCCGCCTGGTGGCGCGGGGGCGCATGACCGACGCCCGAGTTTGACGGTCATCCCTCGGGGCCCCGCGGTCCTCCATGAGGTTCCAAAACTTGCACGCTTACACGCGCACGCAACGGCTGCAGCGTCATCGCCGCCGCGGCGTCCTGGATTGCCGTACACCCCCCTCTCTCTCTCTCGGGCGTGTGGTACTGGGGGGGGACCTGGATGGGGGGTGAAGAAAAGGGCCTTGAAGGGCCCCATTTAGAGACCTGTTCTCCCCCCCGTGGAGGTCACCCCCCATTTACCACCCGCCCGACCCTCCCCTGCGAGGCACGCGCTGACGGTGCTGACGAGCGGCGCCGAGCCGTTGGGCGCGAGCATGGACCTCTTCGGATTCTCGCTCAGCGAGGGCGAGGTCCTCGGTGGATGAGCGGCCTGCCCCTCCGCTTCCACTCTTCCTCCGCCCAGCCCTGGTCCCTTCTCCTCCTGCCCTTCCCTCCTCCCCCCCTTCCTCCCTCCTCCCCTTCTCCTCAGCCCTCCTTCTCCTCCTCCTCCTCCTCATCATCATCATCCTCCTCCTCCTCCTGCTCCGCCTTCTCCCTCCAGGTTGGCGTCCACCCTCCTCATCCCATTATCCTCCTCCTCCTCCTCCTCTTCCTCCTCCTCCTCAGGCTTAGGCTGGTGGCTCCAGGGTAGTTAATGACGCAGCCCTCCTCCTCATCATCATCATCATCATCATCATCATCATCCTCATCATCATCATCATCAGCAGCAGCATCATCAACATCATCATCAGCAACGTCATCACCACCACCACCATCATCATCATCATCATCATCATCATCAGCAGCATCATCATCATCGCCATCATCAGCATCATCATCATCGTCATCATCATCTTCACCATCAGCAGCAGCAGCATCATCATGATCATCTACACAATCCCCATGACCACCATCGTCATCATCAGCAGCAGCAGCATGTTCATCATCGTCATTACAGCAGTATCATCAGCATCCTGAACATCTTCATCATCCGCATCATCATCAACACCAGCAACAACAACAACAACATCGTCATCGTCATCATCATCGTCGTCATCATCATCGTCATCATCGTCACCATCACAATTATCAACAACAACATCGTCATCAGCATCGTCATCAGCAACAGCATCAACCTCATCTGCATCCTCATCATCATCAGCAGCATCATCACCATATTCATCAGCACTATCATCATCAGCCGCATATTCACCAGCACCCTCATCATCAGCATCATCATCCTTAGTCGTACCATCATCATCGTATTCGTAATCAGCATCAGCATCACCACCAGCATAGTCGCCAGTACCATTCACACCATCATCAGCAGCATCAGCATCTACAGCATCATCATCAGCACCAGCATCATCACCATCACCATCACCTTCGTCATCATCACCACCACTATCATCATCACCACCATCATCATCACCGCCAGCATCGTCGTCATCATCAGCAGCATCACCATCATCATTATCAATATCACCAGCATCATCGGCACCATCATCAGCAGCATCATCATGATCGTCATCAGCACCACCACCCTAAACATCACCAACACAACCATCACATTCGTAAGCATCATCATCATCATCATCTTCATCATCATCATCACCATCATCATCATCATCAGCATCACCAACCTCATCGGCAGTAGCAGCAGCATCATCATCAGCAGCAGCATCATCACCCCATCCCTCCTCCTCCTCCTCCTCCTCCTCCTCCCCCTCAACCCCCTCCTCCTCCTCCTCCTCCTCCTCCTTCTCCTCCTCCTCCTCCTCCTCTCCTCCCCCTCCTCCTCAGGCTTAGGCGGGTGGCTCCAAGGTAATTGGTGACCCAGCCCTCCTTCTCTCCCTCCTCCTCATCAGCATCAAAAGCATCATCAGCAACATCATCACCACCACCGCCATCATCCTCATCAGCATCAGCATCAGCATCATCATCCTCATTATTATCATCAGTCTCATCATCATCAGCAGCATCACCAACATCAACATCAACAGCAACAACATCCGCAGCAGCATCAGGATCATCACCATCCGCATCAGCTTCATCCTCCGCACCATCATCATCATCAGCCATCAGCAGCAGCATTAGCATCGTCATCATCACCATCATCATCATCATCAGCCGCAGCATCATCATCAGCATCATCAGCATCGCAATCAGCATCCGCATCACCATAATCATTGTCGTCATCATCATTCACATCATCAGCAGCAGCATCATCATCAGCATCATCAGCACCAGCATCACCACCCATCACCATCACCATCACCATCACCATCACCATCATCAGCACCACTATCATCAACACCACCATCATCATCACCACCAGCATTCTCAGCATCATCGTCATCATCAGTATAAACTTCACCACCATCATCATCAGCATCCTCATCATCACCACCACCCTCAACATCACAAATACCATCCTCACCATCATGATCGTAATCGTCATCCTTATACTCATCATCGTTATCATCATCTGAATCATCAGTATCATCAGCATGATCATCATCATTACCAACAACAACAACCTCATCAGCAGTAGCAGCAGCGACTTCAGCAGCAACGTCATTCCATCCCTCCTCCTCCTCCTCCTCCCCCTCTTCCTCCTCCCCCTCCTCCTCCTCCTCCTCCTCCTCCTCTCCTCCTCCTCCTCCTCCTCCTCCTCCTCGTTCTCCCCCTCCTCCTCCTCATCATCCTTCCCCCCCGCCCCCTTTCTCCACCTCCCCCTCCCCCATCCTCAGCCTCTCGATCCTCCTCCGCCCCCTCCTCCTCGGGGAGGAGGAGACTCGACGAGCAGATTCGAGGACGAAGGTCCGTCGTCGCGATTCGGCGCGCAGGGCCGGCCAGCTGCGAGCCGCGGGCCCGCCACGGACCCATGTTGGGACTTCTTGGGGTCCTCGCTCCGCGACGGCGGGGCCGCGAGGGAAGGGGACCTCGAAGGAAGAGCCAAAGGCCCCCTCTGTGCGGAAGGAAGGCCCCTCGATCGGCAGAGGCCCGGTCCGCCCGCCCTCGTACCAGAGGCTCGGTCCGCATCCCCTCGGGGAGGGGTCGAGGCCTCTGAGGCGCACGGGTGGACGACAGAGCACACCTTCGGCTCTTTGGACGGAGGGGTCCTGCTGTTCGTTCTTTTCGCCGCGCGGCCGCCCAGTTGTTCGGTGCCCGGGGCCGTCGGAGCTCGAGCTGGCAGGGACAGCCGACCCGGACGGACCCCTGAGCGGGGTTCGGGGACCAATCCTGAGCGGGTTTGGATCGGCAGGGACATGCGGATACGTACCCATCCATGGGTTTCCTCTCTTAGGGCCTCCCGGGTGGCCCTCGCCGCCACGGGCGGAGTCGCCCCAAAATCATCATCTCAGAACGCTTCCCAGGAAAGGTCTGGGGCGGAATCCCGATCTGTCCTCCTCCTCCTCCTCCTCCTCCTCCTCCTCCTCCTCCTCCTCCTCCTCCTCCTCCTTCTCCTTCTCCTCATCCTCCTCCTCCTCCTCCTCCTCCTCCTCCTCCTCCTCCTCCTTCTCATCCCTCTCATCCCTCTCCACCTCCTCCTCCTCGTCCTCCTCCTCCTCCCCCTCGTCGTACTTCTCCTCCTCCTCCTCCTCCTCCTCCTGCGACCCCGCGGATGCGCGGCGGTGATTTCGCAGATGCCCCGCGCGGAGCGTGTCCGCGCGATCGCGTATCCGCGGGATCGCGCCTTGGTATCCTGACCGCGAGGGCGTGGATGCGGATACGTTCGCCGCTCGCGAGTCCGCCCGATCCCCCCGCGAGGTCTCGAAGCTCGACGCGCTGAAGCGGGACCAGGTCAGCGGCGTGCGGGGAGGGGCGGCGGTGGAGCTCGCGTAGCTTGCCCTGCACGCTCCAGGTCTTGGGCCTGGAGGAGTGACCACGGTGAGAGGTCCCAATGGCACGGAATGCACGGTCGCAGCTCCTTCCTTCTTTCTCTCGGCGGCGAGCGAAGTGAGGCAGCGAGAAGGAGAGGGCCTTCTCAGGCGGCGGGACTTCTCAAAAGCCCTCGCGCCTTCTGAGAAGTGTTCTGCGTCTTCGGGGGAGGCTTAGGAGCATGTTGAGAACGCCGCGGGACGTCCGAGCCTTTAGAGAAGGCCTTCTCCTTCTCACTTCCCTCGCGCTCCGCCGATTCTCGTTGCGTGAGAACCGACCCGTGCCAAACCTCCTGGTCGGTTTGGGAGCTTACCGCGGCCATCGCGGCGGCCACGCCTTGGGGCAAGGTTTCCGTCAAGGAGTGGCATGCCGCTTGCCCGGGCCAACCCCCGCCCTGCCATGCAGACGCGGCTCAGAATTCACAGTGCAGCGACAGGGGGCTGTAGGCTGATGTCAAATTTGGGCAATCTTGCGATTTTTGGTTAGAGTTATGATGTTCCAACCTACTTTAGCCTTGATCACCAGGAAGAGTTTCGAGTACCAGAAAAAGTACCGAATTTCGAGGGTCTTCACTTGTCAGGCCCTGGGAGACACTCGCCCGACACTGTTTCGACACTGTTCCGACACTCTTTCGGCACTTTTCCGGGTGCTCGAAATTGTTTCTGGGATGTGGTCCTTAAGTACGATGGGAGCAACGCAAGGCTAGAGTCGATGATCACGCAACCTCCTTCGTTCCCCTCAGGGCCAGCGGTCTGGTGGCCCGTGCACTTGGGGTGCTCGGGCCAGCTGGTGCGGCCCGGCCACTGCGTCATTGCTTGGTGACGGGCGGTACTTTCACCGCCCCGGCTGCGCTGAGAGGGCAAGCACTGGTAGGCTGATATCGGGCCAGGCCCACAAGAGGGTGCGCCATGGAGTCAGGAGGGAGATAAACACAGACACAATGAATCGTCGACTCCCAGGAGACTATGGAAACAACTACGGGAAGTGGGGGGGGACGAAAAAACCAAGAATGCATGGGAAGATATGGGGAATCCTGCTACTTGTTTCCTTTTGTTTGTTTGTACCTTGGCCCCTTCATACAGGGTGGGCCAGGGTCGTGGCACGCGCTTGCCCTCGAGGCTTCCCTCCCAGAACGGGTCTCACAACTGCGCCTGGAACGCAGGTGTGGGCTCGCACGCTTTCCCCCGGGGCCGTGGGCGACCCGAGAAGGAGGAGGAGGAGGAGGAGGAGGAGGAGGAGGTGGAGGATGGGGAGGGGGAGGAGGAGGAGGAGGAGGAGGAGGAGGAGGAGGAGGAGGAGGAGGAGGAGGAGGACGGGTCGCCTAAGCCCTTCGGAGAAACCCTCCAGGTGGGCTTCAGATCCTGACGACATTCGAACCGTAGAAGTAAGGATACCTCTTCGCTCGAAAGGGTCTCGGCGTTTCGTGCCCCCCCCAATCCCCTCGAGCAGAGACCCTTGATTTGCAAGTCTGACCTGGGGGGGGTTTGTCTGAGGACCTCCACTGCCCGCAGCAGAAGCCTGGCTGCGCTCCCCATCCGACGTTCCCCTTTGGGGCCTGGCCAGTAGATGGCATTTGAATGCCTGACCAGGGAGCAGGCCAGCCACAACTGGGGGAGCTGTGGTCCTTACCCCCTGGGGGACCCGTCGATTTCGACACCCCTCTCGAGAGATCGTCGATGCGATGGGTTCCCACAGGGGGGTAAGAACCACAGCTCCCCCAGTTATGGCAGGTCGACCAGGGAGAGTCAGGCTAAAGAGCGCGGGGCCGGATGCCTCACGGGCAGCACAGCGGACGCCCAACGGCACGATCGGGTGACCAAGTTCCGTCAAGCCCTCCGGACGCGCAGCGCCACCGGGCACGGCTGGTTCTTTTTCTCGGCGTCATTTTTTTCCCCCGCCTGTTTCAGCTGACGGCGTTTGAATTCCCAGCGCTTGGCTCGGTGGGGTCAGCTCACAGGGCTCACCGCGGCCAACCAGGTGGCGGAGCGAGCACGCCGGAAGAGGAGCATAAAACGAGGAACGCTCCTTGCCGTGTGGGGGGGGGAAGAGCAGGAGGAGGAAGAAGAGAAAGTGGGATGCCTCAGGTATTGCTTGCCCTCCTCTTCCTCCTCGACCTCACCGTCCTCCTCATAACACCCGTGGACTCCTCGATGCCCCGCCGCTCTTGCTGCGCCTTACCTGTCGCCCCAGCCCCTGCGGCGCTCAAAAGTCGCTTCGTGGCCCCAGCAGGGGCCCAAGAGGGGCGAAGAGAGGCAAGGTGAAGAGGGAGGCGAGGAGAAGAGGGAGGAGTATGGAGAGGGAGGAGGCCTCTGGAGGCCTCTGCGAAGGCCATACACGGGCCCAAAACGGCCGAAAGCTCAGATCCTCGGAGGGAGCCTCGGCTTTCGAGCTTCGAACCTGGCGGGGGGGAGGCCGGGCACCCAGAACTGAGAAAGACGATTATCGGGTCGGGAGGATGGGGTTGGGAAGATACAAGGCACGACTGTGCAATAAGCACCTTCAACATCCGCGGTCAGATTGGTGCTGTGAACATCATCTCTCCCAACCCCATCCTCCGAACCCGACGACGGTCTTTTTCAAGAGCCAGCCCCGGGATCGGCGGCGAGCCCGGCGGGAAGTGAGAGGGGCGCATTCTCTAAAGGCTCGGAAGTCCCCCGGCCTTCTCAGAGGTTGTCTTCGGAGCCCTCCCCGAGGACGCAGGAGACCTCCTCGGAAGGCCAGAGGCCTTCTGAGAGGCCCCACCGCCTCCCGAAGAGGCCTTCTCCTTCTCACCTCCCCCTTCGCTCGCCGCCGACCGGAGGCCGAAAATGGCGCAAGACTTGAGTCGGGCATGTCCCTCTGCGTAAATGAAGGCTTGTAATTCTCTAGCCACCGTCAAAACATGATATGGGGACGATTGTTATATTCTTTGTGCGAGTGCTTGATTATTTTTGGTCTATGTTTTATCTGTCTTTCAAAATCCGCCTTCAGGAGGACATGCGCGACCTAACTATAGGCTTCCTAGATGGAGTCTGTGTAGATGGAGTCGAAGGATCGCTCCGCATCGCCGATGCACCGGCGATGCGACTCGATGTGGATTCATCGCCGATACATCACCGGTGCGGCGGGATCCTCCGTCCCCACCCACTCGGACCCCATCTAGGAGGCCTAGACTACCGTAGGGACAGGCGGGACACCCCGAAGATGCAACATTGAGGGGGAGGAGGCTCGCCTGCAGGGCGAGCCACAAGAGACCCACCCCCGAGAACCCAGGACGTCCATGGATTTTCGGTGCGGAAAGAAACGTCACGCTCTGCATCGCAAAACAAACGCCATCGAAACCCCAGAAGCCCACAGGGCACCCTGGAGGCACGCGGACGTCTCTATGCTGGTCGAGGCGCCGCAGGA